AGGTGCACTGGCCTCGACAGCCTCGACAGTCTGGTATAAAACACAGCCAGTCACCTTAGCAAGCAAGTGCCCCCTCTCAGAGCTGGTTGTACTTGTGCTGCAGTTTCCATTTTGTGGTAATGATGTTGTCCTGGCCAGGTCCAGGTCCTTCTGTGGCAGCTGTGTCCCACGGACCTGGGCTGCCACTGCGCAAGGGCTACAGGCAGGATAGGATGCTCTTGGAAGCTGGGTTTCTCTATGTTAGTTACCCGGGTAACTATAGACCGGTCAGCCTCACCTCCATTCCTGGGAAAGTAATGGAACACCTTATCCCTGGTGTCATCTTAAGGCATATCAAGGATAAGAGGGTTATGAGGAGCAGTCAACATGGCTTCACCAAGGGGAAGTCATGCTTGACCAATCTCGTAGCCTTTTATGAGGAAATAACACGGTGGATGGATGATGACAGAGCGGTGGATGTGGTCTACCTTGACTTCAGCAAAGCGTTTGACACAGTCTCCCACAGCATCCTCGCAGCTAAATTGAGGAAGTGTGGTCTGGATGATCGGGTAGTGAGGTGGACTGTGAACTGGCTGAAGGAGAGAAGCCAGAGAGTTGTAGTCTATGGGGCAGAGTCTAGTTGGAGGCCTGTATCTAGTGGAGTGCCTCAAGGGTCGGTACTGGGACCAGTATTATTTACTATATTCATCAATGATTTAGATGAGGGAATTGAGTGTACTATCAGCAAGTTTGCTGATGACACTAAGCTGGGAGGGGTGGCTGACACGCCAGAAGGCTGTGCTGCCATCCAGCGAGACCTGGACAGGCTGGAGAGTTGGGCGGGGAATAACTTGATGAAATATAACAAGGGAAAGTGTAGAGTCCTGCATCTGGGCAGGAACAACCCCAGGTTCCAGTATAGATTGGGGAACGACCTGTTAGAGAGCAGTGTAGGGGAGAGGGACCTGGGGGTCCTGGTGGACAACAGGGTGACCATGAGCCGACACTGTGCCCTTGTGGCCAAGAAGGCCAATGGCATCCTGGGTTGTATTTGAAGGGGGGTGGTTAGTAGGTCGAGAGAGGTCCTCCTTCCCCTCTACTCTGCCCTGGTGAGACCGCATCTGGAATATTGTGTCCAGTTCTGGGCCCCTCAGTTTAAAAAGGACAGGGACCTGCTGGAGAGAGTCCAGCGCAGGGCAACTAAGATGATTAAGGGAGTGGAGCATCTCCCTTATGAGGAAAGACTGAGGGAGCTGGGTCTCTATAGTTTGGAGAAGAGGAGATTGAGGGGTGACCTTATTAGTGTATATAAATATATAAAGGGGGAGTGTCATGAGGATGGAGCCAGGCTCTTCTCAGTGGCAAACAATGATAGGACAAGGGGTAATGGGTACAAACTGGAACACAAGAGGTTCCACTTAAACTTGAGAAGAAACTTCTTCTCAGTGAGGGTGACGGAACACTGGAACAGGCTGCCCAGGGAGGTTGCGGAGTCTCCTTCTCTGGAGACATTCAAAACCCGCCTGGACACGTTCCTGTGTAACCTTATCTAGGTGTTCCTGCTCCGGCAGGGGGATTGGACTAGCTGATCTTTTGAGGTCCCTTCCAATCTCTAACATACTGTGATACTGTGATACTGTGAAGAGTAGTGGCATTGGTGATACCAACTGCAAAATCTGTCTCTTCAGGTTGGGGTGCTGGTGTGATGAAACTGAACCAAACACCATGTTTGCTGTGAGGGCAGATGGGAGGGTGGTGCTTCCACCATTAAGTATTTGGAGCAGTTGAGGTCACATGAATATCTGGACTATGACCCTATTCTGGGAGGGAGAGAGGGGGGAAACCCCAGACAAACAAAAAGAAACCCATGAGGTAGTGAATATTTTATTCATAAGTGATAAAACTTTTCATTTACTGTTTTTTCAACTGCTGATGTATACACAGAATGACCTCATTGTGAAAAGTTTGGTTGCTCTTTCCTTCTGTCCGTGCTGGATGAGACAGACCTCACAAAAATAAATTGGTCCCTTTCCATTCTACCTGTGTTTAAAAGTCTATACAGTCACACACTTGTATTTACCCATAAAGGAGTTAAAAAGGAAGATAAAGGACAGGGAAGCTTGATCAGTTCTTAAGATCATTTTGACACTGCTGCTGCCAAATGTGGGATTTGTGTAGGGATTAGAAGATGAAAATGTTTCTTACCTACAGCAACTCTAGTCAAAACCACTTCAAAGCGTATGTCATATGTAAGCGACTGTCTTTTTTTAATGAAGTAATTTGAAGGACTCAACTAAAGCTGCCTTAATGATGGTTGTATTCCTTTATCTAGGTAGCCTTGTGCATGAAAGCTCACTGCAACAGTAGCTCTGCACTAGGGTTTTTCCCAGGGGTGGTGCAGTAAACCTGGTGGTTGTGTGTGGCTTTGGCTGTGGGCATTGTTTTCAGAGAGTCTGTCCATGTGTGTGCGCGCACACACAGGGGAAGGTGCATATGTACGTACATGCAAAGAGATCACCAGCTACCTGCCACGTTTTGAGAAGGAAACAAACTGCATGCACAGCGACTGATGTGGGGCCGTGGGTAGATGCATATCTGACAACAGCAGTGCTAACTGTATTGTACACCATCAGTGCTAGTTGTATGGTACAGTGAGTCTGACTGTGCACCAGCTGTGCTAGTTGTACAGTACAGTGAGTCTGACACGTTCCAGTCTTGCATTGTGAATTGTGACGTTACAGTGCTTCTTGCAGGCCAGCAGTGTGGCTGGACGTGGCTCTGTGGTGTAGCCCTGTAGTAAAAGAACTGTTCTCCAGGAGCTGAAATCTTTGAGTTTAACTGCACTTTCCATGTGACCTTACGTGGTTGGCACCAGAGAAAGTAATTTGTTTCCTCTGATCGGAAAAGGGGCAAGGAGGAAGCGTGAGCGCTATCCCAGAGGAAAAGGTGCGACAAGCTTCAGCTGCAGCAGCAAAGACATTTCTACAGCAGTACTGGGAAGTGACAGGCATGTCACTCATAACAGCAGCCTGCAGTGGGAGGGGAAATTACGTTTTGATGCGAATATGCCAGCACAGCTTAGCACATCCTGGGCAAAATCCTGTGGCAAAAGTAAAACTGACAAGTGACTGGCCAGTTTAGAGAACTATTTTGAGCTCAAAATGGGAACACAGTGTACATACATCAGGAATTATTGTTGTCTTGTGCACTCTGGTACTACCTCACAAGAGCTGTTTCATAACAGAGCAGGAAGGTATTGTGGGGTGGGTTTGTGAATGTGTGGGGTCTGTAAGTGGGTTTTTTTCCTAGGTGATTTAGTTGACCCATAGATCACTCAACTTATTGAGTTGAGAAGAAACAAGCTGTTTCTGAGGATATCTGTTCTCAGATACAGATCTGCCTTTTGGAAAATCAGTATCAAGTAGTAGTGTTACTCCAGATGCTGAAGGAATTTACACAGAACATTACAACATCCTTATCTGAAATTGTAAATATTTCTCGTGTTTGTTCATTTCTGTAAGGGGCAGATGTGCCTGTGTACATCTGTTCAACCTCTGTGCTATACCTACAGAAGATCCTTCAAGTTTTCTTTTTCTCTCAGTTGTGTTGCTCTGTTTCATGTTACAGAGAAGCTACACTGTTGAATGTATGATTTTCCAGTTACTTCATGGCAGAACATAGGTGCACTAAAATAATAACCTGAATGACCATGGTTCAGGACCACATGAAAAGAGGAAAGTGAGCAGTGGAGGGGAACAGCTTATATGAGAAAAGATCGAGAAACAGTGATGTGCAGCCCCACCGAGTCACCTTGGGACCGTCTGAGCTCAGGTGGCTATGGGCCAGCTCCTGGGGCAGGGAGGTGTAGTGAGCGCTGGGTGTGCGCTGTTCTGAGGAGCCAGTCAATGCCAGTGCCTTCATTTTCCATCTGCTGGTGCCAGGGAGTCTCAGTGGCTCTTCAGGAGCCAGTCCTTGTCTTTACAGCCTATGACCCCAGCCAGGCCCAAGCTGCCCCTGGATTACAAGGCAATGCCAACTCCTCCTTGTATCTGATCCTGCCTCCAGACCCAGTGCTGTCATTCGCCATGTGTGTAACAGTTGGAGGAGTTGTTTGATCGATTCCCAGCTCTTTTGCTTTGGAACTGTCATAGAGACAGGAGCTGCTGCTGCCACCATACCAATAGATAAATGTATTCACTGCTTTGAGTGTCTCCTATGCACCAGTTTGAACACTCGTGGGCTAATGGTAGTACTGCATGACAGTTTGATTAAGACAATAAGTGTGAGTAATCAAGAAAACAAGATATGATTTGGCCTAGAGGAGGGGCAGCACCATTTTTGAGGCTCTTGGCATAGAGCTGCACTTCCTGAGGGCAGGATGAGCTAGATCCATAAGCAGTCCAGGATCATAAAGATGATAAACATTTTGGGATGATTACATGCTGGATTAGAGATCACATGGCTGGCTTTACCTTGATGTCCAGCTGCCCACACTGGTACTTCAGGTAAGTAGTAAAGGTGTCATTTACACTGATAAGCTGCAATAGGCTTATTTCACTGGTGTCCCTGCCCATGGCAGGGGGTTGAAATCAGACGATCTTTAAGGTCCTTTCCAGCCCAAACTGTTCTGTGATTCTGTTTATAGAATAACACTTTGTACATGGGCTTACGTTATAAATAGGGTTTGTATGCCGACTTATAGAAAAAAGTGCACTCATTCATTTTAACTGTTAGTGCTGAGGTATGACAGGCGGTGTGCTCTTAGGCAAAAAAAAAAGTTGTTTCTGGAAATAAAACACTAACACGTAATTTTAAAGGTAAAGTATTGCAGTTGTAGCTCTGTGAGGTGCTGTGAAAATCTGCTGAAATGTCTGGAGTTTTTTATGTGAAGGTGCGTTTGCAGTGGATGAGTCAAAAGCTAACCTGAGTCCAAACTGTTCAAATTATGTGAGAGTTTGCCAAAGTGTTAGTCATCAATTACTAAGGAAGTAATTTAGAACTCTTTTTACTGCTCTCTTTAGGTAACATTTCAATAATCACATTGCCAGTTTCCAGCACCAACTCTCCAACAAAGATTTTGCCAAAAACCTTAGGACCGATCAATGTGAATGTCGGACCCCAAATGGTAAGTTCTAACTTGTATAACATGCCACATGCCTTCCTGCTAGTGTAAAATGGAAACATGAAAAGCAAAGATGTAAGTAGTGCTAAGAACATGCTGCTTCCTGCCTCAGCTGCAAAGACTGCTCAGGTGCCCCACCTGGGTGGAAAGGTGATGATGTATGGGTACTGCCACTCGCAGCAGCCATCCTGCATATATGACCTTGGGGGATACCTGTCCTTCTGGCTTCGAATGGACATGGATACACTTCACTGGCTGCTGTTTCAACTCAGAAGTGTGGTAAGAAAAAAAACACACCAAAAAATGCCATGAAGAATTTTATTGAAACTCTTTGACTATTGTGAGTCATGTTCTCACCAGTGGATCTCCAGCAGCACCAAGCAGTAAATGTCTGGAGTGTGACACTGAAGAATTCAACTTATTTAAGCTCCTCTTGTTAAAACTGTCTTTTCCTGTCAGTGATAACTGTGTGTGTGTGTTGCCAGTCTTGCCTTGAGAAAAACAATTGGGTGTTCTGGTGGCCAGAGAACTAATTAGGTGATGTCAATAGAGGGAACCGTTTCTAGTAACCTGCTTGCCGGGCACGTAGCCTGACTGCAATTACCATTTGATGAGTTTTATAAACAGTTGTGTTGGGTGTTTTTCACATCACTGTTCTTCAGTGGCCCCAGTTAAATAGAGGGGCACAGGCATGCAGAAGCCCCCATGCTGTGTTCTGCATGGTGCAGAGCTGCAGTACTACCCACAGGGTGCCTGCCGGGGGCGGTCCTCTTCAGTGCCTCAATACTGGTACATGTCCTGCTGGAGCACATGCCCCATGCCCTGTGGCATTTCACTGGGGTAGTTTTGCTACAGAAGCTGTATTTTGGGAGTTCAGTAAATAATAGCTGAGAACAGGGGTGAACAGTCCCTGCTCTCAGGAGTGACTTCTCAAGGCCTTGCTCTAGTGTTAAACGAACCCTAGTTACAGTTTAAATTCTACAGCAGGTAGAAGTTGCAAAAGCTACTACTGCATGATGTGAGAAGCACATTTATTTTTTTATTATTTTTTAATAATGTTTATTATTATTTTACTCTGCTGCTTTACAAGGATAGACCTCTATTCAGAAAAGTTTTTTTATTAAATAGCCATTTATGCAGGCCTTGTAAAACATCAGTGGAGAGCTGTGTGTTGTCTGCTCGACCATTAAAAGAGAATGTTTGCAAGTTCATGACAGAGGGAATGTCAGCACTCCTTTGCTATCTTGCCTGCCTTAGCAATACCCTGCTGCTGCGAGGGGGTTCTAGTGTTACTTAACCACTGCAGGCTTCAGCCCTTGGGGCACTCTAGGCCCTCCAGTCCAGCACGCAGCCCAGGGGCAGTGGAGGGGGATGCTGGCTGCCTGGTGACCATCGTTCTGAATCCCCTGGGGCATGGCTGGGCAAACAGTAGAATCAGCACAATCTGCAGGCTGGATTCTTCTGTATTTGCTACAGCTTCTTTAGATTTGGTCTGTGGGTATAAATATAACAGTGTGTTATTGATAAAATGTGTTTACTTATAGGAATTTAACACATCCTACAGGTGCTGTGTTCACTAAATTAGGGTGAGGTCTTCTGTTTTGTTTTATGCTATGCAGTGAATTTATGTGATTACTTCAGGCACAGTGGAAAAGTACTTGCTGTTAATAAGATGGAATTAGTGCTCTGAAAATACACAGTGCAGCCTTTTTTTTTTTTTTTTTTTGCAAAAGCAAAAGCATTCACTAGTAAACTTGAAAGTAACACTGAAATAATGCCAGTTTGTATACCCGTGACACCCGTGGCTATAGCAAACAGCTCTGGGCTCGATTTTTTTGGGGAGGGAAAGGGGTGACAGCCATGGGAGGAGGCTGCTGCTGCTGCCGGGGTCCCTCAACACTAGATGGCACCAAGGGACAGGGGACATGGTCGGTCCCATTGTGATTTGCTACCTCTGTTACAGTGGTCACACGAAAATGAAGAGGCTGGATATAAAATACTCCTTTACAACACGTTTAATCTGTGATTTACAAGGCATCAGTAGAGCAATCTGAAACTTCAGAGAGGGTGGAATGTGGTGAAATGCATTCCAGTGTGCAAAATACTTAACATCTCTGTGGCACATGTCTGCAGTTTGCTGCAGACCATACGCTCACTGCAAATAGACATGCTTTTAGTGCTGCAAGAAACTGGTGTAAAAAGTTAATGGACTGGACCGATGTTTAATTGAAATGTTGCATTACTGACTCTCACTTCCTTGTGTTACACCAGTGCTGAGCCTAAGCAAGCTTTTACAAACTAATTATTCAGTCGAAAACTGCTCCTATGCCTGTGTGTAAAGCAGCCAGCCTGGGATATTCTGCTCTCCACTATCAACCACTAAATATCTAACTCATACCTGTGTGGTGGTTTCCCTAAATTTCTGGTTCCACTTGTTTTTGTCAATCTATTCACTTGCAAAAATAAGTAAGGTCATTTTAAGTCTTTAAGACAAAAAAATACATATATGTAATTACGATGTAGTGCTGGGGGCGGATGTGAAGTGATGCTCCATGAGCTGAGGAAGTGCAAAATTCTTCAGATAACATTTTTTGTACTTGTTTAAACAATACTGATGGACACCAAAGCATCTGCTGTGTACTTACATGGGTATTGGGTAAGTTAAGTAGTAAAGGAAACTACAGAGTTTAATACAGTCAGTACTCAAAATGTCACTTACAAACAGAGTACAATAAAGTTTTAAAAGTGAAATAAGGCATATGAGTAAAAAGCATTGTCCAGGCAGCTTTGGTATGAATTTACCATACTGGAATAAAAATAATTTACCATGTATTTTCTTTTAAAGTTTAACTAATTTATTAATTAGTTCTGGGTTTATGTACTGTCTGAATTCTTCTGGTGACCTCCGTTAAAGAATGAATTAGATGAGATTTAAGAATTGTGACCAAGTATCTTAGTGTTAACAAACACTGTACAATTTCTCCAGGTTTGACTACATGTAAGTTCAGTCCATGCTGTATAGACTTTACACGTCTTTCCAGAGGTACAGTGTTGTGTTATTAGCTTGCTGGAATGCCTTGAGATCTCATGAATGCTGGAAACTGCTGGGAATGCTTTGCCTGCAGCTCAGGTTGTCTCCAGTACCAAAGGCAAATAATTACAAGTGGCAAGCCCATTGGAAAGGAGGTTTTATTGATTACAATGATCAAGAAATTTCCTGGGAGTGCTTTTGAGGAAACAAATGTGCATGGGCATAGATCCTGTCTGCCAGAACTTGTTTAGTTTTTTGTCTATATGAGTAATACAGTAATATGGTGCAATTAGTAGAAAACTTAACAGCATTGTGATTACTTTCATGTATGAAGAGCTGCTTATGACATTCCTTCTGTATGATTGCTGCTTGCATCTGGTACAGAAGTTGTTGGGGTTTTGCTGGGTTTTTTGGTGGTTTTCCCCATAGTACAATGCTTAGCGAGGCTCTGGGGCTCTGGTAAACTCTGCTTTAAGAGGGCTGTGTTTTTATTTCTAAATTTCATAGATCATAAGCACATCGCAAAGACTGACGAATTCGGGGAGTGTTCTCATTGGGAGTCCATATAACCCAGCTCCAGCAATGGTTACGCAGGCACACATAACAGAAGCTTCTGGCTGGGTCCCAGGGTAAGATTTTTGTTTTATTAAAAGGTGTTTGAGGATCTGCTCTGATCTTTTCCTTTATTTATGCTGTTGTGTCTATATGTTGCGTCAAACCTTCTGGTTCCTGCACAACTATAGAGGAGTATGCTCTTTAGCCTGTTATGCACTTTTTATATCTAGAGCACATGAGCATGGAAGTGCAAGCACTGGTCACTTCACAGTCTGTTTAAATTTTGTTCCATGGCAGCATATGAGAGAGAGTCACAAGCTCATGAGTCTGGTTAAAACAAGCCTTTATTTTTTTTCATGAATCTGTGGTATATCCAAATAGCTTTGCTGTTGAACATACCGGAGGGTGCCAACAGAGGAAGAGACAGTCAGAAACACTTTCAAAGGTGTTTAAGACATAACTCTAATGGAAAATGTTGAATGTAATCTGTGTTGTACTTCTACTACTATTTTACAATAGCAACAAGTTTTCATGGAGTTCTGAGGTACTCCATAGTAACATGACTGTCTTTATCTCCTCTAAGGAAATCTGGTCTTTACAGTATTTCATGGTTTGTTTTTTCTTTCAGTAACAAGACAGATGTAGTGCTCTACCTCTGAAAATTAAACATTTATTTGTGCATCTTGGTTAACTTCTGTAATCAGTGATGAGTGTCAGTGGTACCTTTCCAGCCCCAGAGGTGGGAAAATGGAGTATCTAAGAAACAGCAGGAGGGGAGAGTACAGTGGTTGTACCTTGACTTTATTCTTTGCTGTAAGCAAGGAGTGTCCTAGGCTTGTACTTCCCAGTCACTGTATCTCAGCACCACATCAATAAACTGTATGCCCAGCTGGGAAGTTTTTAAGTTAGGATTATTTTTTTTCCCCTGAGTATGTGTTTATTTCCATAAATCCCTTTTAAATCTCTTAGTTCTGATTTTATTTGGAAAAGGAGTTCTCAAAGATTACTTTGTTTCAGCAAATTCTGGGACATGTGGAGGCCAGACAGAAGTTGGTTCAGTCCCCAGCGGAGGGGAAAAGCTGTAGTGTTTGTTCACAGCTGCTAAACCAAAGACTCAACACTCATTAGCTTTCTTAAGCTTCATCAAAACCTGGTGATGGGAGATTACCAGAGGGAAGCCTATTGCAGTGCGTCAACCACCACCACCAAGGAAGAGCACCATGCTTTTATTCATATCCTGGCAAAATCCACAGTATTTCCAATGAGCCTGACTATTTTTTCACCCATAAAAAGGAGCAAGATGTTCTCCAGACTGGCTGATCAGTATTGATCCTTGCAGAAGTCCATACAACAGGTCATATTTTCATCTGAAAATCAGAGTTGAGGAAGGCTCTGTGGTATTGCCAAACCTAAGAGGTGACCCCTTGCTGAAGACAGTTCCAGAGGACTGCAAACCCAGGCTCCTTGCTTTACCCATTGTTTGCTCCTCTTCACAGATTCCAAGTTGTTTCCAAAATCAAATGAGACAAGAGCATGTTCTCTCTCAGGGCTCCATACCACCTCCAGCAGCCTGGCTTACAGTCCTGAGGGAGCTCTCATTTACTGCCGGTCCAGGTCCCTGTTGTGCACAGGAACACAGCAGCCCGTGCCAGCTGCAGCCAGCCCAAACCACATGGCCTGTGACGTTAAGCACCATGGACAGGGGTTGCCACGGACGCAGACCCTGCAGTGCTGAGGAAGATGTCTGTTAGTGGGTTCTGGGTTGTGCAACCAGATACAAGAGGCTTTCATGGCATGGAGCTTCAAATCCATGATTTTTGTTCAGCTCCCTTTTTTAGCATTGTCAAGTTCTAACTGTGAAAGTATCTGCTGTGAGCCCTGGTTTTGGAATGGTAACGGTGTGAAATAATATACTGCGAGCTCTTTAGCACTGCGTGCAGTGTATAACCTGCAAGAATAAAAGACAAGTTTGGAATACACCTTCTGCAGTCTGCTTGCTGTAGCTAGTGAGCAGAACTATTAAGGAAACTGGCAATGACCGGTGACTGTTGCTCCTGTGCAGAACTCAACTAGTTCCTCAGTGTATCACTTTCAGTTCTGTATTCATCAGCTCTGATATGAACTGCTTAGTGTTTTACCTTGTTTTTTGTTTAAAGATACCAAAACATTCAGTGTCCTGGAAATACAGGATAGATTTGTGCACTGTTTAAATGTATTTTTTCTTCCAGAGAGAAATTTTAAATAGGAATTTTCAAAGGAGCCCAGCTTCTCCTTTTTGAAGAGATTTGGTTATCTGTCTAGCTCCCACCAGCACTTCCTATGGTTTCTGATGAAATGAGTTGCCTAAAATTACACAGGCAAAGCATGGTAAAATTGGGATTAGAAGTTTTATGGCAGTGATCTTAGAAAAGCTCCAAAGTCCTGACCACCTCCCCTCACTTTTTGTCAAGTTCTGTGGTGCTATTCTCCCCTTTTCAGTAAACAAAAAAGAGTAAACATTAGGGCCCAAATACATTGATTTTATTGGTTGAAATGTATAATGTGATTTTAATCTTAATTTTGAATTGTCTTTGCCTAGGGACAGAAAGCGGACCCAAGAATTTATAGAGTCTGATTTTTCAGAAAGGTGAGCTTTATCAAACATGTATTTGATGCATACAGTCAGACTTTTATTTACTTCTTCAGATCTGCTCTGCAGAGATGGGAGTCATGTTCCCACTTCCACGTAAAAACTCTGTGGTATGTTATTGCTTGTGGTTATAATTCATTACTCTTTGCTTTATCACTTTTCTATTTTAAGCACAAACATGAGTTGCCTGTAAGTCTGGCTTCAAGCACTTAAACATCTTATAAGGTTTTCCCAATTTTTTGGTTGTTCTTTTGTGAAACTACCTGGAGATGAATTACAAATGTAGTTTTCTAAGCATCAGCCCAGCAGCATGTGTTCAAGTACTGTGCATGTAGCAATGGCTGAGAAACGGGAAAGGATTCCAGTGCACTTTTTTTTGCCAATATGAAAGAAACAAGAAACTGATCCAAAAAAGCAGAACACCTTTATTTTTCATTTAGGTAGTACATGATGTCATCAGTCCTGATTCCTGTTGGAAAGAGTGGCCTTTTGCTGTGTTACAGAGTAACTTACCAAGATGTGATGTATTAAAACAATTATTTTTTTTCCTTCCAGTAAGAGAAGCAAAAAAGGAGATAAAAATGGGAAGGGTCTGAGGCATTTTTCAATGAAAGTGTGTGAAAAAGTTCAACGTAAAGGAACAACTTCATACAATGAAGTTGCTGATGAGCTGGTATTGGAATTCACAAACTCTAACAGCCACCTAGCCACAGACTCGGTAAGCAGATACATTTGGAAATGTGTTACACCATCAAAAAGCTCTTCTGTTTCTGCACTGTCCTGCCACACCAGATACCTTCCTTCATTACTTAACTACTTCCCAAATATAAAGACTTGCCCTCTGAAATTTAAAAATACAGAATTAAAATCAAGAATTGAACTCCCTCTAGATTTCTGAGATTTCCCTCTTAGATTTCTCTAAGCAAATTAGAGAAGTATGCCAAAGTAGTTAGTCTTCTCAACTGGAATAGACTTACCAATGTGTGAATCTGCTGCACAGAGGCTTCAAGCAGGCCTGAGGCTTCCATCTGCAACCAAACAGCTCGTTTGCCATTCCATCTTTTTATTTTCTATGTATCCCTAAAGGATATGTTCCATCTCTTTTTCCTTTTTGAATTTTTATTGTACTTAATTCTGTATTGTTTTCTTAGCAGGCTTATGATCAGAAAAATATTAGGCGGAGAGTTTATGATGCCCTCAATGTCCTGATGGCAATGAACATAATTTCAAAAGAGAAGAAGGAAATCAGATGGATTGGCCTTCCCACAAACTCAGCTCAGGAATGTCAGAATCTAGAGGTAAGGTGAGGTACATGGGAAATTTTGCATAGGTCAAAGGTTGTGATAATGGAGGTGCTTAACTTTAGAAGAGGGTTTTTTTTTCCTCAGTTTGAACCAGATTGGTTTTGATTCTTGAACACTATGAAAATACGTCCTTTGATACTTGAATAAACTGAAAGGATATGTTTATGTATGCTTAGTGCAGTTTTGTGTAGTATACAACATGAAGTTTGGGGAAAAAACCTGTTTACCTTACAAAAATCAGGGAATACTTTGAAGTCTGTATTAGCCAGAATTAACCAGCAGAAAAGTCACAAGAATATATGGTGCAGTTATGCTTAGAAAATGGTATATATTTAAGAGGAGACCAATTTTATATTGCTGTCTGTACCTGGAAATGCCAATCACAGGAAATGAAGTTGAAAAGTGATTCCTGCTAGAATGTTAAATGCTACTTAAAAACTGACGGGAAAAAAGAAGGAAGTTTACTTATTGGTGGTTTCCATTATTTCTCCAGCAGCCTGGGAGTTACTGTGTTTTTTGTAAGAATGCCAGAATTCATATGCACAAATGTTGCTTGTCCTTCAGGCCAAATGATCTATAAATAAAAATCACAAGTTACTGTATTTACTGCAGGCTGCTGCACTGACTGTAAATACATCTTAATATGTATTTTATTTGTGATACTTGTGACATCAAATACCTTAAAAGGTGGGAGTGGGATGCCTCTGCAGTACAGAACAATTATTTTTGTGCAAGTTAATTTACATCAAGTGTCATTTTAGATGTGGTAACAAAGAGGCTTTTACTGTCTGTCCAGTAAAGCAACCTGGAAAAGACATCCGCCCAGCAAGTAGGCAGATGCTCAACCATTTTTCTTCAGGATTCTGTTTTTTAAAAAGCTACAGCTAAATGTACATTTTCATATTCATTCCAGTGAATGCATTATCTTAAGTATAGGTTATTGTTACATATCTGGAACTTGAATTTCATTGTCTCATCAACCATGATCTTATGCTTTTCAATGTTTCAGGCTCCAGTTACGTATGCACAAAATAGAAGCCAGGCGTAGTTTTTTAAAATGTTGCTTCCTATAACATAACTGAAAAATAGAAAATAAAGCTGTATTTGCATGATGTGAAACCCTGAATTCATTTTCCTCTTTAAAGCTGTGTAAAGTGCGAACTCTTTTTTGTGTGTTCTTACATAATAAGATTACCAATACAAAAATGAGAAACCAGTACAAAAAACCTTGTTATAAAGAAACCATGTCTAAATTAGAATCTGTACTGTGTATTGGTTTTGAGAGTTACGTTTGTCCCAGCAAAGAAAGTCATCTACTGTGCTCTGAAGGAAACTTTAAGGAGGGGCTGGGGGTCCACAAAGCACCACTGTAAATAGCATAGGGGAGTTCAGTTTTGACAGGCTGCATCGTTCAGTGTGATTGCCCCAGGACACTATTTAAAGTGTCCTTAGTTGTCTCTGCAGCTCAGTAGTTATTGGTGCCATTGCTGTCCCAAACACTGCATATTTAGGTTGAATACAGCTTTGCCCCTCAAACTAGCATTGAAAGAACTGTTGCAAGAAATGAAATCTGTGCTCATGTAGATAATGTTACGTCCACCCCCTCTTGTTGCTGAAATCTTGTTAGCTTAAGGAAGTCTCAAATAAGTAGTCCAAACAAAAAGTGGAGTTCCCTGGAGAGATGCAGGTGATGATCCTGAGCACAGTCCCCACACATTTGTCTAGTAGCCTGCATCCGGAACAGCAGTGGAAGGGATGTGCACAATTCCAAAAGAGTGGGGAGCAGGATGGAAAAAAAACCAAACAACTAATCCCAAAGCACCCTTTCTTCAAGCGTTTAGTTTGGTACTAATTGGCATTCAGTGCACAATACAAAAGAGGAGGAATAGGAAGGAGACCAGTTTATCTATTGACCTGTTTCATGGAGAAGCTCCTGTGGCCGTGCAATTAGTCTGTTTTGAAAAGTAACACAATATACGGCAAATGGGTAGGCCTGAAAAGACTTCTGCAGTTTACTTCCTGTGCCCTGGAATCCACCACCATTTTTAAAGAAAGCGTGAATTTCTGTAAGATGCAGCTGTAAAACCTTTTCAGTTTGGCACACTGGAACAAACAAGGTAACCAAGTAAATATCTTGATGCATTTATATTTTAAGATAGAAAAACAGAAGCGGATTGAAAGGATAAAACAGAAGCGAGCCCAACTACAAGAACTGCTGCTGCAGGTATATACTTAATTATTTTTTCTGTAAATGAAATCACCAAGTTCCGATCTGACACATTAGAACTTCTGAAGTTCTTCCTAGGTTTCTTTAGCATCTATGATATACTACGGAGAAAAGCTTCATGCTGTGACCTTTCTGGCTTCTAGTAGGGGTACCTCTTACCTTCACTCTCTGGTCTATGTTTTAGTACAGTGAACAGGCATGCTGCTGCAGCTGTGTGCCACAAGTGTTTTCTTAGTGTTCTGAAGGTCTGTCACCATTAGTGGGAATGGGAACACCTTGCAACTGTTTCCACTGACTCAAAGTGTCCTGGCACACCCCACCCACCCACCCCCCCGAGAGTTTGCTTCTTGGAGTAGTTCTTACAGAAAATTTCTCTCTGATTCTAAGCAACAAAATTTACAACACAACAATGTGTGTAAATGAGTAGAGAGTTGGTTTGGAGGAGACAGACAGACACTTCCGGATCTTTAGAGCGGGAAATCCAACTCTTACCTTCTGACATGCACCTTTGAGATGACTTAGATTTGCAAAAATTTATTTCAAATGCATCTTTGCTTATAAAGTGGAATTTTCTAAATAGCTAGAAGCATTCTTAAGAGTTTTGGTCTGTGAAGACTTTCAGTAATTTAATGCATTTGGGCTTTTCAATGAGGTTATGGGCAATAAAGCTTTTTTTTTTTTTTCCTGGTACAACTATATGGATACAATTTTCATATAATTAGCTATATACTGAAACTTTTAAATATCTAATGTTTCATCACCAAAAACTGTTTCTCTACTTAGGCTACAATTCTGTCTGTTTGACCTAATAAATTAGCAGCTTCTATAACAGTAACATGAAATTATCCTGGTGACAGTAAGGCAACTCAGGCCCTCTTAACTATTAGTCTGAAGATGACAGAGTTAGATTCCTTTACTGTCTACAACTGTCATTTCCTTGATTATGTTCATTGTCAAATGGTTTACAAATGCTTTGGGATTCTGTCTGTCCATCTTCCTCTTAAGTGAACTCAGTAGCACCTCAAACTGGATAAGCACACTGACTTCCAATCCCTCAAATAACATCTCCCAAACCCACACATTTTCATACATATGCAGTCAGAGATAACAGCAAGGGAGCTGTGTCATGAACAGCACTTGTTTAAAAACTTTTAGAGGAGAATTTCAAAACTAACTTTTCTGAGCGAGAAAAGAGGGAGATGGATGAGAAGGCGAGGAGAGTACAGGTCCTGGGAAGTGGGAAATGTTGACATTTCTGATAATTATTTTTTCAGTGTAAGAAGCTCCCAATGTGAGGGAGTTGTGCATATAATGTAACAGTGCCTCCAGGGCCTTTTTGAAAGGAATGATGAGCTGTTCTTCACCAAGCTTTATTTTATTGCTCCTGTCTTCTTTCTCCTCCGGGGACTGTGAGGGGTGCATAGCCATTAGGAGCTGTGTGAGAAGCTAATGTTTAACTTCTGTTCCTGGTGAGCCACACTAGTGCAGAGAGGGAGTCAAGCTACAACTTGACTGTTGACAGAAAATTCCTGGAGCTGTTGGGAGTTGGTAAATAAGAACTTGTGAAGTTCCACACTGATGTTTTCTGGTTTTCTGTCAGTGATCATTTTCTCTTTCTTTTTACAGCAAATAGCATTCAAAAACTTGGTACAAAGAAATCAGCAAAATGAGCAACGAAATCAAGGCCCTCCAGCTTTGAACTCCACAATACAGCTGCCTTTCTTAATAGTCAACACTAGCAAAAGAACAGTTATAGACTGCAGCATATCAAGTGATAAGTGAGTGTTTATGGAATTAATTTTTAGAACTATATTTTCTTTGTGAATGAATTTTTATTAGAACAAATCAGAACTTCTGGTTTACCAGAAGTGAATTAAATATGCTATTGTCACTTCAGGGGGCTGTTTTAGCTTCTTTTTTTGTTTTAGTTTGTTTATATATGTGTGTGTATATATATTCTCATATATAATGTCATACTATGTTAGGTATATTGTAGTACATATATAAATGCAATATCTATAAATAAAATAAGTCAATATATTAATAATATATCAAATACTAATAGAATTAATATTACGTTAAAAGTTTAATAAAAATTAAAATAGTATTAAATTCTAACAATATTTAATATGGAATATATTATAGATTCTAGTATAATAGATATATCGTGCATTATAATATAGTTTTCATTGATATCGAATGAATATATAAGCAACAAATTACGTTTTATTATAATTATATTTTATTGTAGAATATTATAGCATAACATCATGTGTGATATGGTGTGATATTACAATATATATGATGAAATATAACATAGTATATAGTATGTATTTATGTATGTATTGATACGTAAATAACTATATAAATATATGATTGTATTAATAGATGTTAAAATATGACATATACTGTATAATATATAATTTATAGTATGTGTAGTTATAATTTTATTTTAACAGTTACATGTTAATATCTATAATATGAAAGATACTAATATAGGAATACATTCAGATATATTGATATATAATATTGTATATTATGTGTAATTATGTAAATTTACATCTATAATGAGATCTATTATAGTATATGTCTATATATAGCATGTTATGATACATATTTATATATATAAAACATATATATGCTTGTTATATATAAACATGTATAGCATTTTATAGATATAATAGATATTATAAATGCTGTAATACTATATATTAATGAATATATTATATAGTAATTTATAGTAATATAGTGAAATATGTATTATATATGATTATATATCATATATATTATATACCTTAGACACGTTAAAAAAAAACCCACCAAAACCAACAAAAAAAACTAAACAAAACACCTCCCTGAAGTGACAATAGCTAGTTTTAATTACTTCTAGTCAACTATATATATAAAAAAAATGCAATATGTTTATCAACATTGCCTTACAGCCACTAGTTAAAACAGGCTTTCACTGTTTCTAAAAGGCACTTCAGACTGACATTTCAAAGAGCATTCACTACACAGAAATAATGAACCAAAATCTATGCTAGGATAGCACCAGTATGTGTTAGTGCTTCTGAATTCATATTTCTAATGTGCCATAAATGTATTTAGTCAGAAACACAAGGTGGTCCATGTAACACAAAAGTAAAAGCCTAGAGGTGATAGTAATAACTTTGAAAGTATCTTTCAATAGCAGAAAGGTGTAGGTGACCCTTTGAAAGGGAAAAAAAGGATAGAATACAGAAATCTGAAATACTGCCTTTGTAAGCAAATTGATAAAGCTGCACTAATTAATCTGAAAATCTTCCACTTACATACTTCTGGCTGCTTATCCTCTTCATCCCATAAAAATATAGCTGGAAGTATGAGGTACTGTTATGCTAACTTTTAATCAGATCACAGTTTATCAGCTGAAAACAGCTGGCTCTGCTGTTTCAATACTGAAGATTACAGACTTCACTTGATGCTATTCAAATCCCTTACTGAACTTGAATTCCATTAACATGGCAAAATAGACCATCTCTAGTAACCTAACTACCAGTGTGCAAAAGCAATATTATTAAAAGTTGAGGTTTTGTAGAAAATTTGGCTAAAGTCCAGTATGTTCAGTGACAGAACTTTAGGAATACTCCCATTTATGCTGTATTTCAGCAAGTTGGGAATTGTAGATTCTATATTGATTTAGCTTGACTGTACCCTTATTTTATCAGCATACTATGCAGCTCTCATTGCACTTTAAACAGTGCTTTCCATTTAGGTTTGAGTTCATTTAAAAGTTCAGTAATTTCATACTGAAGCTTCAGAACTGCTGATTTAAAGTTGTCAGAGATTAACCTGGAATTTGGGATTTGGAGAAGGTTAACAATGTGCCTCCAGTTTCAAACTGTAAGAAAGTAAGAATGAACACACCAAAATGATTTAAGCTGTTGATACTTCATTTTATATAACCCAGCTTCAATATTGCTGTCATCCGGAGATCATTAAGTGTACAACCCAAATTAAACAAGCTTTCCACTGTGGTTGTTGTTTGTGCAACTGATTAGTGACAGCAGCAGTGTGTAGATAAACAGTGGCAGAAACCGCTTGCGTTTAAAGCACTATTACATTGATCTGCTAAATACGGCAGTTGGCAAAAGTGGTCACTTTCATTTGTCCAAACTCATTCTGTAATTTATTAGAGAGTGTTTGTGTTGCCTAACTGGTCAGCTTGAGTGACTGCCCTTTAAGGTCAGTTAATAATCCACTGCTTAAAGGGCTTCCATTCCTTCTCCCAAGTAACATTCGTATATGTTATCAACACTGCTTGTTTGACATTTATAATGACACAGCAGGTGATGTTAGAAAGTCCAATGAACAGATAATCTCATAGGACTTGCTGCTTAAAAAACTGTATTTACAGAGTATCTTCTAAAATATATGCTTGGGAAAATGGTACATATAAAGGGGACTTAGCATCATGAGGAACATAGGTTTGTGTATCCTAAGGTTTTTCCTATGCAAGAACAGGCTTGATCTAGTCAAAACAGGATGAAATTTCTCGCACACAAAACAAAGAGGTTGAGGTTACTGGGCAAGTTTTGTTTAGAGTTTGAGAAGGCAGGCAGCCGGGTGCCAAGCAGCATACTGAGAATGGCATTTCTGAAGCTTGTGTCAAGAAAAGCAGAGTCTGAAGATAAAATAGTTAAAAAATATATTGAAAAGATGAGGCATCTGAACAAGTAAGTCCCGTTTAAAGAGGAAAAAAAATGTATTTATTGTATATGGTGCCTCTATATAAATGCTGTAGGTCTTGGGGAAGGAGAAAATAAATAAAAGAACCAGAATACCTAGTTTTAAACAAGCATTCAAACACAACAGAGGTATCACAAATGTGGAAAATTAGAACATGTCGCTTTTAATGGGAAACGCAGAGGATTTTGCCATTGGACATATACAATACTATCCGTGAAAGTAAACCTGTAGAAAGTAGGCTCTTGTACCCTTAGAGAAAGAATTGCCTGCAAGAGCAGAAACTCCAGATTAAATTAGTTGATCAAATTTGCACTTACCTTGGGAAGAGACAGAACTGCACCCAAACTTCACATTCACAGCATTGGCCTCTGGAGTGATCTTTTAGCACTGAATTTTAAGATAGCAGCCCAGTAGATCATTCTATGAGAACAAAAAAGGATTTCTCAAGAGCAGCCAAAACAATGCTGGGAGTTATTAGCAAAACCAGTAAGGAATACAGTGTAAAACTAGATGTGTATAGTGCTTTCATATCTGGAATACTGTATCCTCTCTTGTTCTTGGAAAAAGTGTAGCATAACCAGGAGAGAGACACAGGAGGGCAGCAGGAATTAATAAGGCTACGGAAAAGTTTTCACAGAAGGAACAGATGGACTCCGTGGCCTAGAAAAAGAGAGCACAGTGGATTCCCAGGTTTCTGTAAAATCATGGATGACATGGAGTGTATGCACAGCGAATACATGGACACAGTTGCTTATTAAAGTTAAGAGACCAGAGCAGATACCAGGCACTAGGTTATAGACATAAGGAATGTAAGTGGTTTTGTACCAGTCAGTCTATGCAGATGATAATATTTGATGTTGCTCATGCCAAAAGTTTCTGTATGTTCTAAAAGGGGTCACGTCAAGCCCCTGACAAAAATCCTCAAACAGATCTGAACAGCAGAGGTGGAGGAAGTGCAGGAACTTCCTGCATCAGGGGCTGCGGGTTGCTGGAGACTATATCTGGGGAAATACTACTGTAAGTTTGTCTGGAAACTTGAAGGGGGATGGAAAGAAGTTCAGCTCCTTTCTAACATCTAGTATTTGACCGCAACACCTGGGAGGAGAAAGCCAGAGCTATCAGTAAATACAGTCTTTAATCGTGTACCATAAAAGCTGAATTCAGTTATAACTTAGTTACTACACAGGTTGCTGGCAGAAACTTGGTATGACACTTCTCCCATCCCCTGTTTGTGCAAATGTAATTACTTGACTTCAGGTGCACCAGTCCAGGTAGCAGGAACATCATTGTACCAATTAAAGGTACAGTGACATATCTTTCCCTTTTGACGAGGTTATGCTTAAATAAGTACAGTTGCATAAGCAATAGGTTTTACAGGTAATACTGTGTAAGTCACAAAAGAGATGATGCCTGTAACTGACAGTTACACCTAGTTCCAAGCATGTAGATTACTAGATGAAAATGTTGTGCCTAAGCACAAAAGATTAATTTTTTCCAAACTTACTGGATTCAATAAAATCAGTATTTAAATTAAAAAAAAAAAAATCCGCATGTGACATGAGCTTGGAGAGCTAATGGAAGACCTACCAGTGAGTTATCTTTACTGTCTCCCACAGATGGGTTGCTTTTCCAGGCATAAAGGATTTGTTAGCAGAAAATGAGGCACTGGGAGCCAGCCTATATTGTGACCCCTGGACCGGGGCTGTCCAGGCATTTAACAGCCTCTGATCAGAGCATAAGGCCAGTCACCACAGGTGCCCCTGCTTTTCTTAAAGCTGTCTTAAGTTTAAATCACTATTTCCACTTTTGTATGCAATGAAAAGCATTCTGAGAGACCTGCAGCAGAAATGGTAGGTTGTGAACATAAAGGACTTAGAACAGACTGCTTTGCTAGCTGCATCCAAAAATGCAAAACTAGACCAAGGTAAATAGGTCACTTCACAGGAGGAGTGTTGCACATTAGAACAGAAAATGAAATGTCCAAGAAGCAAAAACAAAGTAGTTATTTTGGTGACAGGGCTGCAGCTGACCTTTAAAAATACTGGATTTAGTACAAGTGAAGGTTCATGTTCACTAAGGCCTCCCTCTTCCCCTTTGAATCTGTTTAATGAGGTAGAAAACTTCAGACTTCCTGCAGTGGTAAAGTTACTTTGAGAAAGTGCCATTTTACATCCCATAGGCATGCCAGTAACAGAAGCAGAAGAGAAAAAGCATTTGCTGCACTTTTTTTTTCCCTTAAGGACCCTTTGCAGATAATGAAGGATTGGGATACTTACCTCAATGCAGGATGAACAGGCAAAACCCACATAGCTGTGCTCTTTTAAAGCCATCTCACTTTGACTTTTCACATGCAGATTTGAATACCTCTTTAATTTCGATAACACTTTTGAGATTCATGATGACAGTGAGGTGCTGAAGAGAATGGGAATGTCCTTTGGGCTCGAGTCAGGCAAATGCTCAGCTGAGGACCTAAGAACTGCAAAATCACTGGTGCCCAAAGCTTTAGAAGGCTACATCACAGGTAAGTTATAGATGAGACTTTTACATTCCTGATCAAATTCAAAGCATTAGTTAACCGAAGCAACTGTACGTGACAGTTGAAGTTTTGTGGGAGCTAGTAGGGTTGGTACAGAAACCAGTTCTTTTACAGGTCATTTTGGAAGGTTTATCATAGTTGTCCTGTAAATGTAACTCACATTGATCTGTAACAACAAACTTCAGAGTGAATTGTGTTACGAAGGTGTTATTTCTTAAATAGCTGAACTGACACCAAGGTCAGATTTTCATGGATTAATACTAGTTTTTCATAACACTGGATGAATGAAGGAGCAAACTGCAAGGCAGCTCCTCCAAAGCTGAGGAGGAAAAAGAAAGAAAAAGAGCATCTTAAAGTGAGTGAATGTAATGTAATCTACAAGTGATTCCCAAGCCAGCAGGTTCCACCTGAGAACAGAGCTGCTCTAAATAAAGCAAAAAGCTCCAGAGTTCCAGGACAAGTCTTGACACTGAGGCTTTTACCTCCCCTAGTCACACTGCTTGAACAGGTCACACTTAATAGGCTCAAATCCTCAATTGTTGGACTAGAGCTGCTAAAATGTGTAATCACTCCTTTAGCTACTGTCAGACTGTGTTCTTCCTGCTCTGCCCAAGCTTAAAAGTAGGCCAGTATTTTCTCAAGTTTCTGGAGGGACTTCATCTGTAAGGGAAGTGTTACCCAATGAATTAACTCTATGCACACCTTCATTTTTGAAGAAGGGGGGAGCAAAGCTATTGCCTTGACTTCTCTACTAACAAGGCTTTAATCTTGATGAAACTACAGTAGTATAAAAGTCTGTCTTTCACATAGCTAGGCTGGACACTTCAAACATTTGACTTTTTAACTTTACTAAAGGTGATTCCCTTCTGGTGCAACAATCTTTGTCAGGATAATTTAAAATGCAGGCTTTATATTAATGCTATTTTGTTTTGCTAAGGATAATACAGTTAAGTAGTCAGGAAGCTGAACGTGTGGGTTTGTGTGTCCTTATTTTTACTATGTGAGAGAATTAAGAATTAAACAGTTGCTTAAAATTTGTGATATGAAAACCCTGCTGGATATAAATTAGAACTCAGTTACATTCACTAAGATCAGTACATTCTAAATGGCTTAACATTCCAAACTATATCAGATGTGCTTATGTTTATCAAGGCTTGTTTGCGTTTTCCTGGTCCCCTTGTGCTGTGTGTTTCAAAACTAAGATTTCATTTTTTTAATTTCGGTCAGTTTTGAAGTTGCCCCCCCAAGTCTTTATAAGGCTGCACTGATGTCAAAAAGAGAGGTTGAAAGAAATCTTAACTTGTTCCTTGCTGGCTCATTCAACTGAAAATTACCTACCACATTTACCACCAGTGTGAAAAAAACGGGAAAGGATCAGAATCCACATCTTTTAACAGTGTTGCAGTGTTCAGGTTACTTAACTGCACCTGTCTATCAAGGAACAAATTAAAATTTCTGTTCCGTTTTAAACCTGCATTAATTTCTCTTCAAAGAACAGGGTTGCTTTACATTTGCGAAAAACCCTGTGTCATTACACTCTATACCAAATAAAACCAGCTTTAATGATTGAAGTGATAAATGTCTAAACTAGTGCTTAGTAGGTGATTTTTGTTTTGAAAAAAATTTAGTCACACTAAGTACTGCTGGTGGGGGTTTTACTGAAAGCACTAAAGGCAAAACAACCATTATGTTCCTGTGCAAGTGAGAAACAGATAGTCCTCTGTTTCAAAGAAACTAACCCAAAAAGAACAGATTTGAAGATAGCTTAAAGAACATGGTGATTATTTCTCTAGTAGCAGACTAGTAGCCAGAAACCCAGTCATTAGAAACGTGTTGATTTTTATATTTTACTTAAAATGAATTGAGGTGAGTAACATACTCTTCAGACAAGCTTCAGCTTGTGAAAAAAATTCTCCAGAAGTGTTACTAGAGTAGATACATTTATTTTCAAAGGTTTCTTCTATCTGATGCTTGCTACTTAATTGTGTGAATTGCATGAATTGCATAGTATGTGTTTCTAATGGCAGTAACTGAAGTAAGGGAAACTGATTTAAATGTTTTGCACAATACTTGAAACCCCAGCATTTACCCAATTGTGAATTTTTCACTTAAGTCTCGCTTCCCATTTTAACTTTGACAGTCTTCAGATGTTGTTTCTTACACTGCAAGGACAGTGAAAGAGAAGGCTCATCGCTGGTTTCTAGACTTTATGGTTACTTCTGTAGCTCTCATGATGGCACTGTTGAGTACCTTGGCTTCAATTACTACTATACAAGAAGAGCAAATCAAGATCTCTTATTTAGTCACTGGGTCAATTTATTACATTCAAGATCAAAGTTCTTCCAAACGAGCTGAATCTGTGGACTCAACTGCTGTAGAAACCAGTCCTGTTCTAGTACATGCAGGCAGGTCATTTCCCATGCAATGTTAGTTTGACCATAGCCTCATCATCTTTTTCTTTTTTTTTTTTTCGAGATAATTACTGACTTCCAAACACCTAACAATAGTTTGTCCTGTAGTTCTTGCTAACAGAGCTGGCGAAGCAGTTGGAAGAATCCAAATCTCAACTAGTTCAATGAAAGAAATTTAAAACTGACAAAACATGGACCATCTCAGCTTTAAAAGAAAAAAGTTACTTCTAGACACATTAAACATGCCAAATAATTTGCTTGGAACTGCTGAACTAATATATCAAAGCCTTTTAGTGTATTCTCTTTGCAGGAGGATCATGTGTTTTGGCCATTCTTCAAGTGCCCTAATTTAATATGCTTGATGAGCTAAGTAGATAATCCAGAGAAAGCGATGGACATAAAGCAAACTGCACTACAGCCTTCTTACTGTGGAAGGAGCAGTGTTGTTTCTGATATGATACTTGCACCACCTTAAGATGCACACCAGGGTCACATTTCTAATTGTGCATTCCTGCCCATTTCTTAGTTTTGACAGTTACCTCCTTCTATCCTCTTTATGAGCTGGTTCAGGGTACTAAACTGTAGGTTCTTTATCTGGCAGAGACCTTTCTGACAATACAGCATGTTGAAATAGCTAGCTAATGGCTCATACCAGAACAGTTCAAGTAAAAAGGGAGTGAGATTGCTGGATGAGCTGAAATACGTGACTGACTGAGACAAGCATAAACTCTTGTAGAACCATATCCAGAAAACTACCTTGTGCCTTTTAAGCCATGCATATACTAGAGGTATTTAACGTAAATTCAGGTCTGGTATTTGTCAGCTGAGTCCTGACTCCTAGATAAATATTTTGAGGTACTGATACTTGTACATATCCCACTAAGGCAGTGAGCAGATAAAGGGGTGCAGTTTAGGACCTCTAGAGTACAACACTTTTTTTTTTTTTTTTTCTTCTCCCCTGCACGGAGAAATGCTTTGCTATCATCTACCTGCATAACAAGCCTTGACTGGCAATGGGCTGGAGTTAGAACTGAAGAGATAAAAGTACTACTGAATGAACGAGCCTGTTTGGCCATCAGCAATAATCCTATGCGGCACTTTAGCATTAATTACTAAGGCTGTTGATGGTGTTTCTTTAGAGCCTTCTCATACAAAGAACAAATTTCTGCCAAGGATATCTGCTGCAAGATATGTCTGTCCATAATAAGGGTGCCACTCTTAGGCTGGTCTGTCCCACTTTGGGAAGGTTTTTCCAAGCTTCTTTCCCTGGTTCACAGGTGTAGCTATTAGTAACTTCTCTGTTCTAAGTAGTAAATCTTCATTGTAGGCAGCATTCTATTTTAACAGTTCTCTTCAGACAGGAAATGGCTTCTTAAACCTTAAAACTTTTCCCTGGCTCCTCAGAGCCCACTGGAAAATAGAATTAGAAGGCAATGCAAGTACAAGGCAGGGAGGGGCATTTATAAACCTCCTTTCTGCCTTATGTGTAAAATCCAAACTTTCCTTCACCTTGCTCTTCACAAAGCTAACTAGCTATTATCCCACGGTGTTAATAAAATGCAATATTACTAGCAGCAACTTGTTATTCTCCTGAAATATTAAACATGTACACACAGGTACATCCCTTCAAAAGACCAGGAAACAACCCTGTGATACATCTCTAATCCACTTTATTAATCTAAATACAATGCAGTCATTCTAAATGGTTCAGCCTCTTCCTGCAAAGACAAGAAGAGACTGCAGAATGTGTTCTTTGTAAAAACAAACCTGCATTTATGGCTTTCTTAATGAAAGCCATGCAGCTGTGTCTATGTTTTAACTCTTCTCATCTATCCCATCCTCAGAGATCACCCTAAAGCCGCCACTTAATATTTTCTGTCATGTTCTAAAGGCTGTTGTCAGGAACATTGACCTTGCTAGCCTTGCCTTGTACCAGGGCATTTAAATACCTCACTGCTAATGGGTCTCCACAGCACAAAACAGGGTAGCATATGGATCCCAGTGGATGGTGAGCCAATTTCTGTGGTTGTGACAATCTCCTTGGAACAGTCCTATGCTAGGTGAAACACTGGCAAATCTCAAGGAGCCAAAGCTTAATGAGAACACAGACAAACAAGAAAGCATATGTAACAAAGTTATTCCTCTTGTCTGCTGTTACAGAACAATTCTAGGTACAGTATGAATAGTGCAATCTGATTTTTACTGCCATTGTGCTGTACAGAACAGAGGTTTGGTTAGGCATAGCAAATAACTAAGGACAGTAACTCCTGGTTTAATGCATCCAGCTGGAACCACATGCAAGCACCATGGAGAAGAACTAGACAGTCCTGATAATTCATTTCAATTTGAACTTTGTGTTGAGATGGAATTTGGGTAGGTCTGTAGAAGCATCTAAGAAAAGTTAAAACCACATACACACACCCCCCACCCAAAAAAAAAAAAAATATCCCATGTGTACTTGGGTCAGTGGACTAGTTTTGCTGATTCTCGTAGCAGAAATGTGCATAACTGGAAACAAGTGACTGGCGTTACTTGCTACAGAATTTGAAAACAGGTTCTATGAGGGTTGTAGGTAACCCACTCATGCCTCAGAGGGCTTCCAACAAACTACCTCAAGGAATTCTGCAGTACTGCAAGGCCGTTTTAGTCCTAAAATTTCCTTTCCCTGGGGAGGAGACTTGCACCTCACACATGCAATATACAACAGGATCTCTCTTTCATACTCTTGGCACAAGACCTCTGACATGGTGTGTTCACATCCACAGCTAATCCATCAGGACAGATTAGCAGGCTGCATTACAGCCAGTTGTGAGACCACCAAATTGAAACTGCCTTTGGCCATCAGAACACACACAACTGAAAAACACATACTGCCTTGATGATGGCTTCTCTGCAGTATCTCCACTCCTGACAAGTACAGTTCCATTTACACCTGCACCAAACACAACAACAGCAAAGGCACTTAGAGCTCTTGGGGCATAGGATCAAGCTGTACAACCTCAAGAACTGTTTCAGGTACCTGTGATTGCATATGGCTACCGGCCAGGGTCATCTGCAGCATCAACCCTCTTCAAGCAGAGGGGAGATAACCACAACTGTGAGCGTGAGGGAGTGCAAGGCTTGAGTGCATCCACAAACACTGGGGGGATGTATGTACAGATTTATAATTTCATCTTGATTAAACAGGCCACATCTACAGTTTAGGGAATCTTAACTGCAAAGAGAATGTGAAGTTTAAGATAGTAAAAGGAAGAAAATAATCAAGTAGCTGTCATAAATACAATGATACTTTTCTTCTAGATATGTCATCAGGATTTTCGTGGATAAACCAAGGGTTACTTTCAAGTTCAGCACAAGCAGGTTCACATTTAGAGGTAGCAGGAGGCACTTCTGATGCTAAATCAAGGTAAATAATTTTAAGTCAAAGACAGTGGTATATGCTAGTGATACTTCAATAACCTCACTTTCATATCATTTATATGCAGGTAATGAAATGTTTTCTGTATGGTTGACTTTTAATTTTAAATGAGCCTTATTCTGTCTTCTTTTATAATTACATTTGAAAGGTCAAATCAACATGTTTTGAATTTTGAATGTATTGCCTATTTTGTATCTATGTTTCAAAAGAATTTAATCACTTTCAAGCCCTTATTATAATGACAAAGATCTCCTGATTAACCTTAAATACCTGCCTGGGCATGGACTACAAATAGTTTATTACGCATAGAACAAAGCCTGATAATACTTCTGAAGAATGCAGGAGGATATTTGGTGTCTAAATGCGCTACTGCTTAAGCTATCATGAAAGAAGTTTAATCTACACAGTCATAATTTTAAATTAAAAACCAAGCACAAAACACCACCAACAGTCCAATGCAAAAACACTGTAACAACTGTGCTTTGCTTGGAGGTTACGTGTACCTTAAAAAACAAAAGGAGAGATCATTCTGAAATAGGTTCTTCCTCATGGCATTTAACAGTTTAATTTCATATTCCAAACATTTCTGTGTATTGAAAAAACTGTGAGAGATTTATTTTTTTTACTTTGTTCAGCTTGAGCAACTCTACTAGTTGGTTATGAAAAAAATAAAAACAACAAGCCACCCAACAATCTTTTATGTTACTTCGATACTTCAGCTGTTTCCATAACTATTAGCTGTGTTTAATGTTGGTAGCATCTCTTTAACTAAAGGAAAAGCTGAGGTCGAAAAGCTTTAAACTTCATCTGAAATCCTCTAAACTTCACCATTTCTGTTGTTTTAATAGTGAGAATCCAGGGTTATGTTTGGATGCTGAAGTGGCCTTAGCAACTGGGCAGCTTCTTGCTCCGAGCAGCCAACAGTCCAGCAGCGCAACATCACGCTACTCAGAATCACGGGGAGAAACTCCATGCTCATTCAATGATGAGGATGAAGAGGATGAAGATGATGATTCTTCCTCCCCAGAATAAGGACAGTAGAAAATGGAATATACAAAATGCTGCTCAAATATTTCTAATGGGAGCTCCTGTTTGGATTTCACTGATATTTCAGCCACAGCTGAAATTGAAAACTTTTTGTACCTGAACACAGAGTGACATGCAGACACAGAGTGATGTGGGGTTTATCAACTATAACCAAGGAAAAGAACAAAGTCCCCTGGAGATATGGCAAAGTAGACATCAAATTCACATTTTCCATTTTGGGACATATTCAAATCTCTGTCTTTCTCTTATCAGATGGAAAGGAAAACAGTGTCAGTCAACAAATGTTGGTTCTCACATTGTCTTTTGGCTGTGCTACCTTCAGGAAAAGGGGGAGCGAGAGCACACACAGGTGCTGAAATAGCTATTTAAAACTATCCTATATGAAAATTGTTCTAGGGAAAGGGGGCTGTTAGAATGTTTGCTTTTTTCTGTTCAACTTGCTGTATAGAAGATTCCTAAAGTAATATAAACTGCGATAAAATGAATCTTGAAATAGTTTAAATCCATTTTAGATACTCTAAAGTTAACATCAGTATGTCTCTTTTGAAAGGTTCATATGTTCATTTATACTGCAGACCTAATTTATTATAAGTGATTATTCTTAGCCATTATTTAACAGTCAGGATAAAAACAGCAGTATTCTCTGCACCAGCTTTTTTCAAGGAAAAGAATTGTATTTCTAGATTATAGTGTATCCTGTAGAGCTTCTCCTTTACTGTTCTAACTTTATAATCCCTTTGATTTTATAGGACGTTGGTTTTTTTAAAAGAGGATCTCAGGCAGCATGTTTTCAAGGCAGTGTTTTCAAATTCAGGATGGGCATGTCACATAGCTGTTAAAGCTGTATGTTGAGGTTCTTAGGAAAAAAATTAAATTTCAACAATACATCATTTCTTGTTTTGCATTCTAGTCAGCTTAGATTAGGACAGACTGACTTTCTTACCATTAACTTCTGTTGCACTCACCTTGATGCGCCTTTGAAAATAGTTGTATAAAAATACCACTTCTCAAAATAATGTGTAGCTCAACTTACACAACATGAATCCCATTTCGGCTGTTAATTTAGATTTGTAATAGGACACTCAGTGTTCTAAAGTTAACATCACATCCAACCATCAAGACCTTATTTAAAAAAAAGCTTCAGAAACAGAGCACAATACACTGTACATGTACTTCTCCCATGGTTTTCTAACATCCAGTATTTTAACCAGTCTTGAAGTTAACCATTTTTAATTAGGCTAAAATAGTGTTACTTCTTTTTAGTTTTTATACTGTATGTAAATAGCTGACCTGCTTCTAAGGACCACTGTATTAGCTGTCAGAGCTCAACAGGGCTGGCTGTCTTACTTAGTTACAAGATTAGGCAACTTGTCATACTGTTATTTGCTTGAGCAATGGCAGCAAACTGTCACCCCTGGAGTGCTGTGATCAGTACTCTTAGCACAACATGGTCATGTCCATGTGATCTTCCACAGACAAACATGCACTCAAGCCAGCCGTATCCAAAAGCACCAAGCCTGAGCAAGTGGGGTAAATGGAGTCTGCAGTTAAAAAGCTACCTGGCTTTCAGACAAAAGAGCTAACACAGGCCTAGCTACATAGAGGACAGGTAAAACTGCGAAGAGCAGACAAGCAGACCTGCATGTTTACAATAAAAATTAGAGCATCCAGATGGAAACTTTTCACAGGTAGTCAAACTCCTGCATCTGAGGTACAGTCTGGGTGGCACCATTCATTCAGACTGAGCAAGCAGAGCTGTCTAGCTTACACAAATGAGTTGCAAACACACAAACTAAAAGAATTCTTGCATGCTTATCACGTTACTCTCTGGGCAAGACTGTTAAAACTGTCCTGTGCTCATGGCTGACAGGCAACACCACACTAAGGGATTTACACCACCTCACTTCAACCAAATCTGTAACACTACCTCTATATGAAGAAAAGCTTTACAAATAAAAAACAATATTCTTGCTGAGAGAGTCAATGTACTGAACTGAAGTGGCTCACTTTTGAAATAAGAGAACGTAACGTACTCCATGTACATTACTATGGAATTGTCAGCTCCATGAATGATACTTCATTTAAGCAGGTAGATAATTGTTTTTTTCTTGAAAACCCATTGGTTTGTCAAAACCCATCCTTTCAATCAGCTTTCATTGAAGAGGGCAGACAAAGATACCTGACATAGGAACTTTTTAAGAGGGAAACATTTTCTGAAGTTATCCCTCCCACACACACCCTCCCCCCAGCAATAAAATAGGGACACATTTAATTTTATGATCTCTTCACATTTCCCCTTCAAGATTTGTGTAAAAATAAAAAACAGCAAACCACTAAACAATTGCTGAAGAGGAGCACTTTGAACTCTAAGAACCTGGCAAAAAAGGCTTCCTGCCCAGAAATTGAATGTTATATTAGCAGTCAGTGTACTTTCTGCTTTATAGGAGGATCTTCAGTGATACCTCGCTTCCATTGCTGTCCACTCCCTTCAAAGCAGCAGACTGCACAGCTGCTTGCTTTCTGGCAAACTTCAAGCTATCTACTTAAACCTAAAGAAATCTAGGAGCATGCTACATTTATTAAGACAGTTGAACCAAGAATTTAAAAGTTATTTTTCCTGAACTAGTTGAATACAAAGGACAAAACAAGTTAGAACATTTAGAAGAGACTTCAAAAGGAAATTATTTCCTTGGGATTCGTTGTGCCAAGTTCCAGTTGAGGATGAAGTTCAGCTACAGCACTGCGGTCTTGAGGTTACACTGAAGTCTGGGAACTAGAATTTTGGGTCTTTTCCAGCCATAATCACTTGTGTATAAGCTTAGGCAAGCCCTTCAATCATTCCAGTTGATCTTCCCTGATACAAAAAAAAATAAAAAACCTAACCCACCCAGACCACCACAGGTAACTGCAGGACCTCACAAAATGAAGGTGTTGCATCTGAAATGAGCTCTGAGCATTATGAGTAACAAGGGGATTGGGAATATTAAGTAACCACACAGCTCCCACCAAGCTAATGGCAGGAGCTGTGCTCAGTTGCTTCAACATGCCAGCCATTCCTTCTTTGAAAGCCAGCAGTGGATATTTTCCAGTTATTAGCAAGACTGGGCTTCCCATTTTTTCCATTCAGTTGTTATCATCTCTGTCTCGTGCAATACCCCTGACATTCACTGATAGGAAACAAGGAGCAAATGGTACTAAATGGTATCTCTTGTAAGACAAGATTAACATTTAAATTTTCATACAAATTCTATTTAATGTAAATTTTAAGTGACATGTTTTTGTGTCTTGAAACACTGTTTCTCAGTTATACATTCAGAAAGCACTTGGTTGCAAGCAATAGAATGCTATGTGTAAATGCTCTTTTATATGTTGCAGTAAACAGCTCTATTTCTGGACTTTATGGTGCTTAAAAAAAAAAAACAACCTAAATTTGACTTGTCAGCACCACAAGCTAGATGAAAATAATTTGAGTGGGATACAGCATTTTTCTATTATGTGGAAATCTGACATAATGTTTGTGCATTCTGTTTTTTTCATTGTATTAAAGTGTGCCAGTCTTTTCATTTGAACACTGGATTTGAGGGCAGCAATCCACGTAATCTAAGAAAGTGCGTGTATTTAAGTAAAGACTAAAGCAAATTATACTAGTTTAACTGAAGGTATGATTTTAACTAACATCATTAAACCTAGTACCAGCCACACTGTAGATATGTCCATCTTGGTTAAGGGTTTTGTTTAGTTCTTTTAAACTATAACTTGCAAATACTCCTAATCCTTTTGAGCAGTTGGAAATTGCTGAGTATGCAGAATACCCACAAAAGGATCTGATCAACTAGGTCAGCCTGAAGTACCATTATGTAACAAAGGGCTAATTAAATTTTGATCCTCCCCCCCCCCCCTTTTTTTTTTCTTTTTTTTGCGGGTTGTTGGCTGTTTTTTTAAGTAAAACAAAGCCCTCAAGCTCAGACATAAAAAAAATGCTGGAATTTAGAATTCCACACTGAAGGTTTCAAATGTCAAGTGCTCGCTCTTCTGACTACAGCCACCAGTTTTAATTCAAGAGTATTGTTGAAACTTAATTACACTCAAACACTGGGCAGTGCTTATTTTTATAATTAACTGGCTCTTTTTAGGTGAAAATATTCCAGGTAGTTGGAAGACTTATTTCCTTTTAGTAAGTTGAAAGATATTTGGGTTTTGGATTCATTTAAAAACAAAGCAATAACCACCGGGTATAGCATATAGTAAACAAAACAAGTTATCTCTTGACTGACCCACCTAATTTATATCTTTTCATGACAAAAAGTCTCGTAGGAATAAGTAAGATAGAATGAAGCTGGGAAAAGACTATAGGAGTTTTTTGAACTTTTGATTTTAAAAAATTCTAGTTATAGTCCAGACTTTAAGATGACATCCTTCTGCTTACTACAAGCTGGCTTGATTTAAAATTAGGAAATGCTGAAGGTCAGTTACTCGAAGGCCTGGCATATTTTATAGCTGAAGGCATCTCAACCTTCAGCACTGGGAAACGGTTCCTCTTGTAGTGTTACTGATGAGCAAAGAAGAGGCTAAGGATCCTTGTGCTGTTTATTGAGGTTTTGGGTTTTAAAATAGCCACTTCTTGAATTTTTGCCTGTGTCTGTAAGGCACCAAGTCATTCGTAACTTTTGATTATCGCACACCTGCCCTTGCAAGCATGTTAACAGCTCTAAATACTCAGCTTTCTCCTGGCAGCTGTTCACATAACCAAATCCTGACACCGTGAAACTTCCTGCAACTCTCATTACTTAGACTTAACCAAGTTCTGAGATCAGATTATCTCTTATTTAGCTGTTACAGAATTTAGCCTGGTGAGTGTTTTTAAGAGACTGTAACTGTTTTCCCCTGGACCCAAGTATATTGCCAAAAAATTCCCCACAACCAGCATTACTCTTAAGTTGTTCATTCTCTCTGCTAAGTATTAAGCATTCTTTCAAGTCACTGTAGAGCTGCTCATACAAGTACTTCTTATCTCATTCAATCTAATTACTTGAGTTGGCATCCCTGGTACCTAATGCAGCTGATACTGACAGCTAGGTGAGGGAATGCTCATAAAAGCAGCCTGACAGTAACAACTGAAGGGGCTGTATATCACAGCTGTTTAGAGAGTGAATATTCATTCTATATCTTTAATACTCCTGCATTGTCTGGCCTATCACAAAGATCAGCCAAAACCAAAATGGTTTTTCCCCATTTACATCTTCTTGACCATACTTAAACATTCAGAATATCCACCTAAGCTGAAGGACATCAAAACTCCTTGCTCGAAACTGGGCACAAGAAATCTAACCATCCAAACAACAGGAGAAGGCCTCCCACTTAGGGAATATATGGTGCAAATTAATTTTTCCATTCTCCAAAAAGCAAAGCAGGCTGACCTGGATCAGTATCTGTGGAGGGCCATGGTAACTCCAAGCAGATACAGGAACTTCCCAGTGGCCCAGACTTGCCTCCCTTCTTAGTATTTGGTATGGACTAGAATAAGTGGCAACCACTTAAATCTTCTGACTTCTCTAAATGCCATTCTTAAATACTTGATGCTTTCCAGGCATAGGTGCTTTAGAGACATGAACAACATGGGATAGCAGGATACA